TCCTCCTGTTTGTTCCCCATGCTGCGTGCGTTTGTGTAGAGCCAAGGTTTTGAATACTTACACGGAAGGTTTTGAATACTTACATGGATCATTTGTCTGGCTTGACACATGGGTCATTAATCTAGGATTTAGCTTATGTGTTTGTATTGTCATGTGTAAATAGGTATCCTCATTTATAGAGTCATTATGGAGATAGGAAGTAAAATGCCTACCCAAAGAATTTACAGTTCCAGCCGTTTCAGTGGGTTCCCAAAGAATAAGTTCCTTTCTTCAACTGTTTATACCAGGTCAAAAATCAGTTTTCCAATGCAGAAACATTGTACCAAAACAATGAAGAGTTTATAGTTTACCTTATACTCACATGCTGTATGAACATCAGGATCTGGCTACTATTTCTTTTTTTTCACATTTTTAAAATAAGAAATCATTGAGCCAGAACCGTGCTCCTAAACGTGATTCCAGTTTTACATCTGCCCTGTAATTCATACCTTAAATCCACACAGGGAAATGCCTGTTACTGTTGCATGTAAGAAAGACTGTTTAATTCCACTTAAGATGGTATTTATGTCTAGGAACCAGTTCCAGTGATTCAGACTGCATATAACATGAGATTGCTAGAACCTCCTTCCCTATGCAGTTAACACTCACAACCAGCCATAGCACTTACATTGGGTATTTGTAGTAAACTAATAGATCCTAGAATGCTTCGGTCTTTGTCATTTAAAAATGTACACTGGGTACTGTTTATTAACCTACATAATTTTTGCTTCATAATTACTTTTAGTGATTAATCATCTCTTATTTTCATTAGAATGGAAACCCTCAAAATCCATACTGCCACGGAATCGATGGTGTAATGGAGGCATATTACAGGAGTCTAAAATCTGTACAGCTTTATGGACCAACAAACTTTGCCCCTGTAATTAATCATGTAGCCAGGTAAGCATCACAACAGGTACTTTGCGGAAACTTCTTATTGTCAGCACAGCTATCACATATAAAAGGCTAACAGTCACATGATGCTAAACATAGAAAGAAGTATTTGCAGTTGTTTTGTTTATTCAGTCTAACATGATTAACTTGGACCTTTGAGTAGGTTTGAAGACCATGTGCTAGTATTATGCAGAATTTTATCACTGATTAAAAATAAATACAAGTGATCCAGTTGATCCACTCTGTGTTAAAACCTTAGGAGAAATCATAATGAAAGAAAACTTTTGTGAGCTCACTCTGCCATGTTCCTTTTTTGTCCTTTGGAGCACAAAACTTTTGCTTCACAGAAAAGACATAAATCTATCAAAAAATTTATAAAATGCAATTTTTTTTTAGGCATATGTAGTTCCTCTAATCTCAAAGTGTCCAAAACATTAACAAAATTTTCCAGGGCTCTCTGTGGCAACAATTCCCAGTTGGTAGTGGTACTGTTAAGTCAATAGCATAGCAGCCACCATTGGGGAGCCATGGTGCTATGTTATGCAACACCTCATTTAACTTCTCAAAGTAAAACCCTTCTTGTGTTTGTAGAAGTTTCTTAAGAAGGATAATATTGCCTTATTTTGGCAGACAAGGTCTTGACTTATAGTATACCTCCATGTGTTGGTATAGGAAAAGTGATATGGCTCAGATAATTTAGCTGAGTAACTACCTGAACAGATTTTATTTTATTTATACATACAGAGAAAGAACTAATGTTTATAAAATAAAGCAGTAGGGATGTGTAAATCATTGTACTGTTAATGTTTTATTTATGAGCTTGCAAAATAGTTAATTGTTTTAGCAAAAAATATTTATTTACTATCCGTTCTTGCTGCTGTTAGTTCTACAGCCCAATGAAAAATAATTTGCAAATTCTATGGTGCAAAGAATTTCTGTGCACCCTAGCATGGCTAGATAGCTGATTTCAGTTATTATCATTAAGATTAGTTGTTCCATCTTCAAATCATACCATTCAAATCATGTACATGTATATTTCATTGCTTGTCTTTAGCAACTAGCTGTCTCCTTTTTATGTCTCCTTTTGACAGGATCTCTCCGGTAGCAGTTTTCAGATTGTGAGGAAATATGCCAATCCTTATGACAGCTGAATTCCATATATGTGGCATTCAGTGTCTGCATTAGCCATGTTAACTGGAAATCTAACCCATTGACTTTTCTGGCTCTTCTTCTTTAGAACTGGTCGTATCAGCTGAGCTGGTTGGTTCAGAATTTGGCAATTAACCTTAAGCCTCCTGTTCATTGCAAAAATTGAAATTCTTGATCTGGTACAATCAAAGCATTGGAATAAGTTGAATTCCTTTTCTCACCAGTTGCTTCTCAGGAATATTTGTCAACTTGTGCAGAATTACAGGAGCCTGTCACCAGCATTTGTAGTTCTTCCACTGAACTTTTGTCTAAATATCAAGTTGTTGCAAACTTTGGGAACTCCTTCTGGTAGCAAATCACACTACATTATAGTGGAAAAGCTAAGTATCTTCATGAGGATTTCTACTGCGTGATCCATGGTACATAATCCATGTACCAGTCCAGTTCTCAGTAACATAATTTTCCTTCAAGGCTCAGTTTCTTGGCTATTCTATTGACTTTCATAGACATGGTACTAGAAATTATGATCTAGTCTGCAGTTACTCTTTGAATCTACCTTCAGTCTCAAAGAAATTTCTTCTTCCCACATCCCTCACACTTAAAAATATGCCTCTGATGAAATCTCTAGAAACAACATCAGATATTATAATCCTGTTGTGATCTCGGAACTCTTAAGAAGCTCTTTAAGCAGATAATGAGTTTATTATCCTTCCCCCAGCTAGGGATTTATCTAAACTGCATGAGATTTGACCTAGTATCTTCTGTCATTTTACCTCCTCATATAAGATATTTCTTGCAAAAGACTTCAGAATGTTTTATTCTGTGGAAAATTTGAAATAACCAAATTTCTGTTCCATTTCTTCAGTGTAGGTATGTAGACAGCATGAAGTCCTCAGAAAGGATAATGAATTTTTATTTTCCTCTCTCATCATCCCTTGTCACTGCAGTCATCATTGAAAAGATTGTCAGCATTGTGGAAAAATGAGATAAAAGAAGTCTCTGCGTGGTAGTGAAAATGTATTCCATAGTAGGTCTTGCTAATCTAGATATTTAACTATCAGTCCCTACTGCCAGCATGCAAATAGACGATATTCAACAGGTTCATTGTCTGTGTGGCTTTTCTACCCATCTGTATCTTGGGGAGGGAGAGGGAGGAATGTGATGGCTTTCTGTGAGTTGCAGATTCCATTTTGCACACATTCCTCCAAACTCTTGTAAATGTTGTGGTTACAGCATCTTACTTATTGGCAATACTTGCTTGCAAATGCACTGTGTAACATCAGAGTTAGAATTTTCTAAGCATATGCAGTCATCATGAGCATTAGAACATACCCTGTTAAGTGACCCAGGCCTTTCATGTTCAGTGACCAATAAGATAGTGAGTTCTTTGATAGCCATATTCTGCACTTGGCATATATTCCACAGTATTCATATGGAGCTGACTTTTTTTTTTTTTTGGTACTGCTCTCCATACTACTCATTGCTACTTTTATTACAAGGTTCTACTGTTTGACTCCTTCACAGCACCAAGAGCCTTCCTGAAAGTAGGAACTATACTGGCTGCTGTCAAGTGAAGCAGCCTGCTCTGCACAAAAGAAGTTCTTCACTAACTGTATAGGATACTTTGACCCTTGGGAATTGAAGATAAATGAACTGAAGTCTTAGTTTCTGGTATGCAGGCCGTACAGTTCAGTGGGGCTACTATGGACTCACTATATTTCAAGACTTTCCAAATCTTCAAAAGCTGCTCATTTTCAAAGAGCATTTGCTTCTTGGGTCCTTTGGCTGAGGTGGAACTGGAATGGCACTGGATGTGTTTTGTCTTGTATTCGTGTACAGCACAGGGAGAAGCTTGAGTCTTGAAAGGACATCTATGGGTAGTGCAAAGGGATGAATATCTAAGCCAGGGTTGCAGAGTGCATGTTCAGCCATTCTACAAATGTGCCTATAAACTATAAATCTGCAAGCATGGTGAACAGTAAGTAACCTGGTTTTGTAAGATGAAAAAAAAAAAAAAAAAAAAAAAAAAAAGAAGAAGAAATATTTATGCAATGTGCTGATTCTTGATAAATTTTATTTGTGCTATAAAACCAACCATTCAATATTAATGTAGGCCCTTCATACCAAACTCTGTTCCCCAGAGGTAATAACTATTAAATAACTTAGACTTTCTAACAACTTGTGATTCTATAAAGCACAGTCTGTCCATGCTCCTCTTGGTAGTGCTACAGTTCCCATTTTTCACTGATTCAACACATGCAGATTATCAATATCAATATTGTATTAGTTACGTTTTTCTAATGTTCTCATTTAAAAGTAGAATGTCCATCCTAATTATGAATGTCTTTACTTTTGAAATCCCCTGTATCATGTTTCTTTATTTTTATTAGTTCTTAGTAGTCAAATTTTAAAAATACAGCTTCTTTTCATATTCCTTTGTATAAAGGTTTTTTTACTATTATAATGTTGGTTTTTCTTCCCTTAGATACGCTGCTTCAGTAAAAGATGGCTCCCAGTATTTTGTTCTTCTCATTATTACAGATGGGGTTATTTCCGATATGGCTCAGACAAAAGAATCCATAGTGAATGTAAGTTTTGCTGAAAGTATTGAAATTTAAAAGAATTATGTTTCTAGGAATTAATATTTTAGGCAATGAACTAAATCAGTTAATATTTCAGGCACTAAATTTGTTCTATAAATTAGCCATTTTTTCCAAACAGCAAAAGTTTATTATGCATAAAGACAAAAAGAAAGCAAAAGTTGAATCTCAGCTTAACTAGATAGTGTTCTGGGGGAAATTATACTCTTCTGTCTAACACTGTATGTTCATAGGATTTTCCTCATCTGCTTCTTGCCTCCTCCTTCAGCATGCATATCCCACCATGCAGTTTTTCATAGTGAACTGTTAATCTTTAGTAATTGCAGACAGCTTTGGTCACCCCCCTTTTTAAAAACTGCCCCAAACTTTCTGATCCCAAATGGCAAGCATACCAGCCATCTAATTTCCTTCTAAACGGTCCCCTAGAATTTTGAAAATTCTTAATTGTTTCTCAATTGCTGTATTATTTTCAATATTTTTCTCTTCAAAACTATTATGCATATAAGTAGTATTCTGTATTATGAACAGGTTCCATTTTGCTTTTGCCCCTAGGAAATGTCAGAGGAAAGTACACACAGAAACAACTTCCAGACAGGGTTTGAAAAGATCTGTACCAACAGTTTTGAACATACCACAGTGGATCTAGTTAATAGTGAAGTGGTGGGTGAAAAGCCTACATTAAATTAATTAAGCATCCTGTCAAAATGAGTAGTGTAGAATTAGGTGGCATATTTTTGAAGGCCCACTTTCACTACCTCCTGTAGAGATTCAGTACTGTTCCGGTTTGTAGGGTGCACATGAAAATATTACTGAAATGTCCTGTATTTCACTGGAGAGTAAGATGCCTTCAAGTTCCAGCCAACAGCATGTAGACAGAGTCTGTGTATTAATAAGGAGTCTGACAGCCCACCTGGTAAGTTTGTACACCCAAAGCTGTAGCTGTGTTTGAAGGTACTGGCTTACTTTCTCTCCTCTTCCAGCTTTCAGTATTAAAATAGGATAAACTGACTCTCACTTTTAAAGGACATAAACAAGCTTTTAGCTTGGAAGTTCATCCTTTAGTCTAGCCTGGAAGTTTGGAACATAGCTGCTTTTAGATGAGCTTCTTTTAGGTGACAAAAAGGCCCCATGGAGAAAAAAGAGCAGCTCTTGATTTAACTCACACCTCAATTTGAAGTCCGTGAGTAAGAGATCAGCAAGTCCAGTTGGCTGATATCTTGTAAGATTAATTTGCCACCACGACATACAGAAAAACCTTGTTTCCAGTAATAGTTCATTTCCATTAACAATAGCTGTTAGTCTGCAACTGTCTGGAAGTACAGCGGATGTGTTGTTAGCTTGGAATGAGTGGTAGTTTGGGAATATTTACAGTCTTTTCTTTTTATGAAGGTGCATTGATTTTTCTGTATACTTCTTGAAGTGTGAGCACAGTATACCATAACAGAACTAATTAAAAGCTATTCAAGAGCAGTTTTTTCAGTCTCAATAATATCCAAAATAATAAAAAGGGCAGTGATGTTCAATGCAACTTGATATGTATAAAACTCAGGAAGAGTGTATTTCATTTTTTAACACTAATTGTGCTTTTAGGCATCTTTCTCATTACAGCATACACGTCAGACACATTCTGTTTTACCAAACTGTTTAAAGGTTATGCTGTCATTAAGGAAATGCCAACACTTAAGTTTATATGCAAAAGTTTAACTCTTTTTCTTTATGCTGTCCTTGCCACTTACTGTTTCATATACATTGTATCACATAATACTGTGTCTGTGTGAGTAGGTGTCTCTTTAAAGGATGTTTTCTGTACAATCAAGCAATAAGATTCTAGAAAACACCTGAAAAACAGAAGATTCTGTTCTAAGAAATGTCTTCATGTCTCGAAAATATTCTGTATTCACTACTATTGACTTATGCAGTGCACTGTAATTCAGTTACAGTTACACTGTATTTATGGCCCGTAATCACAGAATCACAGACTGGTTGATGTTGGAAGGGACCTCTGGAGGTCATCTGGTCCAACCCCGCTGCTTGAGCAGGGCCACCTAGAGCTGTTTGCCCAGGACCATGGCCAGACAGCTTTTACTGTTATCTTCAGTAGCATATTAATATTTAACTAGCAAGGGATGATTAATTTTTTTTTACTCTGCTACAAAATTTTAGCCGGAAGATTGACTATGTAGTAACACTTTGTGATGAATTTGCAGTCAATGTATAGTATATAGTGTATAATGTATAATAGTGTAGAACATTAAATAGTGATTTATAGAATGGCATATTTTCATTGTTTTAAATAGCATGTTTACAGTGATTAACTGTAAAACTTCTGCTTAAAGAAAGTTGGGTTTATATGTAGTATTATGACAGATGAAGAATGGTGATGGTGTATCTCAAATGAGAATATCTTTTAAATGAGGGAGAAAACCACTTTTTTTTAATATTCCAAAAGAAAAATGTAACAGTATGTTCTAAAACCACTTGACTTCAGACTTCAGTGAAGCAGAGCTTAATTTAGCAGAAAGGGTACATCTATGATGTTTGGCCAGTGTATACTCCTGTTTAAAATTACTGTAGACGTTTCACAGTTCATCAGAATATCTCAATAAGGAACAGTTGTCAACCCTGACATTTGGTAGATGTTTTTTTTCTGTTGTTACCCTCCTCAACAGAGGCAGTTTCAGATTATTTCTGTAACCTAGCAGGTATCTGGTGCTACTATGACAGCAGGAGAATCTAATATTTATGACAGTGTCTTCATAATTTTACAGGTTTTACAGAGAATTTATTCAGGGAAAGCCAGATATCATCTTTGCTTTGTTTTATTGAATGAAAAAAGATTAAGTAAAATTAAAAATCTTACCATAAGCCAGTTTGATATCTTGTTTACTTTGTTGCACGGATGACTGACTTGAATCAAATTTCATTCATGGAAGAAAAGTAAGATACATATTGCCTAAATAGGTGACTTATTCTCTTGAGAAAAATTGGCATAAGATTGATGTAAAAAATAGTGTCACATAGTTCCAAGCAGCTATGTAATATAAAGAAACAGCAAAGTACATTTAAATAAATGTCAAACTGTCATTAGGTACATATTTGCAATTATTATCAGTTTACAAAACTTTCTAAGATAAATTTGTCATCTTAGTTGTCATGTTAGTATTAAATCCTAACATAGTTTGTTGTGTTTAATTATGCTCCTGTATGATTAAAAGACTTTATAAGGAAAAAATAAAATAATCATCTGCCTTTCTATCTTCATTCAAGATGTTTTGTACGACTTAAGCAGGCAGTTTACACCACTCAACTTTTTAGGTAGAAAAAAAATTGTTCTTTAAAACATAACTTCTGCACGCTTTTTATTCAGATTGTCCTCAGATCTCACATATTATTGGCAGAGGTTATGTAATGCACCAAACCTCTTTTTCTTCTTCTCTTGAAGGCTTCAAAGCTTCCAATGTCAATAATTATAGTGGGGGTAGGACCAGCAGAGTTTGATGGTAAGTGTTCTAGTGTTTTTCCTAGAATTTTTTATATTTGTTTACATTTTAGTAATATGTGGCTTTTCAAACAAATATTGTTCTTTAAAAGACCATAATATGGAGCAAGCAGTAAGCACTGTTGACATTTCCAGCTGGATTGATTGATAACTCAGTATGATTACAAGCTACCATGTGGAGCTGTGTAGCCCCTCAGGCTCTGTGTTCAAGTCACAGAACCATATGGGGACTCAGCGTTTACAGAGCTCCAGAAGATGAGTGGGGAAAAAAAACCCACAGTAGAGTAAGTATACTCAAATAATGTTGAATTTCTTCAACACAGGTATTTAGTTGCCTTGTGAAGTGTCAGTTGACTGGAAATATTGGTCATCTGTTCTTACTGCTGTAATAAAATACTGAGAAAAATAAATACATTTGAGGAGGTGATCTGGGTTAAACTGGGTTTCACTAGATAACAGGAGTGAGCCTTATCGTGTAGAGCATTGAGAGACTATTACAACAGGAGAGAAATTACCAGGATTGTTTATATATTCTTTCATGTGATGTTCTGGAATACCATTCTCTATTGCAATTACTAAGCTGCTGCCGTTATTTGGACTAATTTATTAAGTACCTTTGTGTATATCACTGCACTATGAAGGGTAGACATTCCCTGTATTTCTAGTCCTCAAAGTCCTACATCCTTTCCTTTTAATTCTAGTACATCTGGTTAGACAGTATGCCTTCTTTTGTACATGAAATATACTTAGTACTACCACAGATGTATAATGTAAATAGTCACTAATGACTGTACATGTTCATTCTTGTACAAATATTCTAAGACTATGAAAACAAAAAGAAAACACAAAAAAAAGTTATTGGGGGTTAACTTTCTTATGCTTTTTGGCAAGTGGTATATTAGTGATAATTTTAAGTATCTTATTCCTTGAAGAGATTGTCCAGGTGGATGCTTACACTTCAGATGATTGTACACCACAAGCAATGAGAAAAGACAGTTTGTCTTCATAAATGCATGTGAGGGAAATTTGCAAACTTCATTTTTACCCCTGGGAATTCTAACTTTAGTCATATGTTGCTTACTTTTTTCACATGCCTCCTTTGCCTTTTCCCTTTCTCCCCGGTTGTCCAGTCCTTGGGTTTGCCCAGGCTCCCCTTAAATCAGTCAGGACATGTAGATTCTGTCTTTTTTACTTCTGGAGGTTGTCTTTGCAGAGTTCTTGGGGGTATCATCCCTATCACTTAAGACAGGATTATATTTGTACTGCAGGATACAGTTTCCATCTTTGGACCCACACTCCTTGAGTATACTGCCTCAGTGAAATTCACCTATTAGATGTGTGCCAAATCAATGCCTAAGAGGGCAGAGAAATTACTTTTCCACCTGCAGAAATTCCTTCTGGAAAAAACAGTCTCCATGTCTGATGTGGACACTGAAGAAGTGTGTATGTAGGAGGGTGTATGTTCCAGACACACTGTCTTACAATTCAAATGCCAGTCAAGCCTCAGTTCTGCTGTAGAGAGACTAAGCTACTCCTCTCCAGATATCACTGCCCCCTGGATCCGCCAGCCTCTGGGGGTGACTGGAGGGGTTCTTAAAAGTCTGGAGCTCAGATAGGTGGCACATGTGTTTGGCAGAGCTTTACTTAAGAATGTGAGGATTATTATAGCAGATCAGATCAGAGGTCCCTTTTGCCCAGGATTCTGTATCTGACATGGCCATGGGTGGTTATCTAGATAACATTAAGAACAGAATAAGCAAATATGATACTTCCCTGAATACTGTTTTTAGATTTAAATTTCCTGAGCAGGATGTGTATTATGTCTATTTTGGAAATTTTCAGTGTATGTCTTCTTCAAATACTTGTTCAGTCTCCTGGTTTGAACATAAGTATGTTTTTTGCATCAACAGCATCATCTGGCAATGTGCTCTACAGACCTACTAATTTTTTCTTTGAACAAACATGCTCTTTTGTTTGGCTTGAGCTTAGCTCCTGATAGCATAGTTTATGCTTTCTAGTTCTTGCATTGGTAGAACTAGGTTTTGAAATACTGGTTTCAGTGAACTCAGCCCAGTTTGTAAACCTGAGAAGCTCAGTGGTGCATGGCTTTGATTTTCAAAGCATATGCTGAAAGAAGGATTGTAGGATGGCAGATCCAACAGCTGAGCAATAATCTGTGATCCCAAGTCCATCCATTTCAACACTGACCAGTGAGCAGGTATGCCTTTCTACCTAGAATGGCTTCTGGGTATCTGGACAATTTTAGAATTTTCCTGGATCCTGCTGAGAAAGATACAAGAAGAGTTACCCAATAAATTTAATAATTTTTTTTTAAGAACTCCTCATTCTTATGCATTAACAGTTATTATTTTTCCAGTATGAATGTGAGTTACTACCTCTTTGTGCTGTATCCTATCATATCTTCTGTAAGAATAATTGCTGAAGATGAATTCTTCTCCACCTATAAAAGTATAAATATACCCTTACCAAAACAGATATACTTGCTGGTCTGAGAGCCGGAAGGATAAGGACCTTATCATGATCTGTTTTGTTCTGAAGATAACAATAAAGGCAAAAAGTATGTATTGTCAGCATGAAAAAGTGCAAAATAAATACAAACCATGATGTATTTTATGGCACAAATGGTCTTAGAGAGCTACCTAAATAACGATTGTTGATTTTGTTGCTCTAAAATGTAAATTGACTAAAGTTTTTCTCAGTAAGATTGGTTTTGTTGTGTAGCTGAACTCATAGATGAATTAATTTTGTTTCTTTTTTTTTAAGCTATGGAAGAACTGGATGGTGATGTAGTGAGGATTTCTTCAAGAGGAAAGTTTGCAGAAAGAGACATTGTGCAGGTGGGAGGGAAAATTTACTCTCATAGTTAGATTTTACTGATCCTGTTTGTATTGAATTCTTGTTTCTGTCTACATTCCTGCTTTGCTGTTCATTTTACCTCAGCACTGACATAATTTATCTTGGGGTATTCATAACAAGCTCGGAAACTCTCTGTGATACCTATAAGCCTTTATATAACACATAGTAGTGGATCTGCATTCATTAGGAAATGACCCCTAACTGGCGGCACACCGATATAAAATCTTAGGGTTATACAGCCATGAGAAGAGAGTTAGTTGCCTCTGTACTGCAATCTCACTATGATTCCATAAAGAAAAACTGCAACTTTTGTGGAAGTTGGTAATACCTAGACTTCTAACAAATGCATTTGAGATGTCTAGGGTACCTTTCCTTGCCTCTAACTGCCAGACCAGAAGACTGTGAGTGTCTCCCAGTTCCTGTGTTGCATCTGCCACATACGACCATGCAGATGTCTTGTGCTTTAAGGAACATCAGATGATAGCTGGAACAGGTTGCCCAGAGAGGTGGTAGATGCCTCATCCCTGGAAACATTCAAGGTCAGGTTGGACAGGGCTCTGAGCAACCTGATCTAGTTGAAGATGTCCCTGCTTACTGCAGGGGGGTTGGACTAGGTGACCTTTAAAGGTCCCTTCCAACCCAAACCATTCTATGATTCTGTGATCTGTATTTATGTGACTGAACCAAGCCCTAAGAGTGCTACTCTCATCTGCATTCCACAGACACCTCCATTTCTCTGCCAGCGTCCTCTGGTTCTGGTCCTGCTCTGGAACAGTCCTGCTCCTGTTCAGTCAGCCCAGTAGTTGTCATTCAAACCTATGCAACCACTGGCAGGGTGATATAACAGTTTTGTATGCACATACACACCTACCATAATCCCCCTTCCCCTCAGAGCTGCAGTTTTCTAGAACTCCACAGGTTGCCCAAACTATGTACTTCATCCATGCTCCAGGCACCCCATCTTGCCTCCTGATTACCTGCCCCCCTGGACAGACTTTATTTCATAATCATTTTCTTGATCAAATAAAATTAACTAGCTATGCAATTTTTATTTTCATGGGATACTAAAGTGGAACCAAACAAAGAGAAAGACATTTGATGGCTCAACACACTAATCCCTGCTTGCTAAAGTGAAGTATTAAAGAAGCTGACATTTGAAAAGCAGCAAACTACTGAAAAAATGGATCAACCTGATGATTGTAGAAAGAATTATATCTGTCTAAAACAAAATCTTCTGTGGAAGGCATGTCTTCCTGGAAGTGTCTGAATGCATTTATGGAATAGAGTATTTTAGTTGGAAGGGACCTAGAGCAATCATCTAGTCCAACTGCCTGATCACTTCAGGGCTGACCAAAAGCTAAAGCATGTTATTAAGGGCATTGTCCAAATGCCTCTTAAACACTGACAAGCATCCTTAGGCTCAAACCTTACCTTAGATCTACCATTTCTTCTTCTCCCTTTATTCTTCCTATTTATCAAAATTCATAGTCTTCACTTATTTTTCCTCTTGCTTATTTTCACTTACTTCTCTCCAAGCCAGGTTGGATTTTTATATTATTGTTGGTTAGTAGAATATTTATATATATATACACACATATGAAATAATGAAGCTATGTGAATAGCTCATATTGCAGGTGATAATATTTTAATCATAATTAAGATCTGACTGCAGCTGATGAACTTTGGAATGTGTATATTTGTTTTAATTTATATATGCAGGAACTGAAACTTTTCAAAATGTTTAATGTTACAAACACTGTATGTGAATGTTTAAGGATTTGTAACTGCTGGTGGATACAATATCTCAATCTAAGGAAGTGTATGTATATGACACCTGATTTTATAGTTCTTTTTGTTTAGAATACAAAATAAACAAGTCTACATAAATATATGGCAATTAAAATGATCGGTTCTTTTTTTACAGTCTTAAAGCTTCTCAGTGCAATAAATACTATATTAAAATTCCCTCTCTATGTTTTTCATAAATGGAGATCAGAAATGAGAAGATGATGTAAACAGTTAAATTACCCTCATAATCTGTATGGATATACAGTAAAGAATAGATTCCTGAATTACTTTTTCTAATAGTTGAAAAGGAGACTTTTTTTCATTTCTGCAGCATACAGAGAAAACAACTGATGGGAGAGTGACATATCAAAACTCTTAGAAGAGTAAGACACGCTGGCTGCTTTAGTCAGTGTTGTCAAAAAGGTAATTATAAAAGTAGGGATGAGGAGAAGCTGGACAGCTGAACAGGTGGCAAGAACAAATGTTTCTCATTTTGTCAAAGCCTTTATAACGGTCCTTGGTAGTCCATATTGGGCTAGAGAGGGGCTGTCTGTAATCTGTTACGCTATATACGTCAGTGCTGTTCAACAGAGCAATACGTGGAGATCTGCCTCCAGAGCTGGAAGTGTTTCTGGATCCCAAACTAGTATTTCTGCAAAGCCCTGTGCCGTGTCAGATTCTTTTAAAGCTAATTCCGATATCTCTGGCATGCATCTCACTTACATTTAAATGCATTTAAATATACGCAAGGTAATTATACATAATTTCTCCAAACAACAACAGTTCCAAAAGCTGCTGGTTTTATATTCAAAGAGCATAAATGGATAGAGTTCTTCAAATGTTATAAACAAGATTTGTGAAAATGCTTTGCATCAGAAATATTCTAATTTCTGCTGAGAAATAAAAAATAATATGCAATTAATACACTTTTGTATTTCTTTAGAATTCATTGCATATCAGAAACGTGATAAAACATTTATTTACTATTAACATATTTCAATCAGAACTTTGCCCCAAGCCATATTAAATTACCTAAACGCAGTATTATTTTGTGCTCTTTTTCGGTCTAAATACTAACAAATACATTATAGGCTAGCTAAATAAATAAAAAGGGATAATGTCAAACCCTTTAGGTTTGGTATGACCTTTATTTTATATCTGGCAGGATAAAACTGATTTGCTTTTATAAAATTAACTACTCAAATATAAAAAGTTTGTCTTTTTTTGTGTATCAGGTTAGTTAAAATTAGCTAGTGAAATTAACTGTTAATTTTAACAGTACTGTAGACTATTTTAATTAAATTAGTAAAGGAAAAATTTGCCTGCTAACAGTGAGTCACTGTATCTATTATATTTACTACTGACTGCAATTCATGTAAAGGCATGACCTTCCTTATTCCCTCTGTCCTGGTTTCAGCTGGGATAGAGTTAATTTTCTTCCTAGTAGCTGGCATAGTGCTGTGTTTTGGATTTAGTAGGAGAAGAATGTTGATAACACACCGATGTTTTAGTTGTTGCTAAGTACTGCTTATGCTAGTCAAAGACTTTTCAGCTTCCCATGCTCTGCCAGGTGCACAAGAAGCTGGGAGGGGGCACAGCCAGAATAGTTGATCCAAACTGCCCAAAGGGTTATTCCATACCATATGGCGTCATGCTCAGTATAGAAACTGGGGGGGTTGGCTGGGGAGCAGCGATCGCTGCTCGGGAACTGTCTGGGTATCGGTCGGCGGGTGGTGAGCAATTGCATTGTGCATCACTTGTTCTGTATATTCTTTTATCATTATTATCATTATTACTTTCTCTTCCTCTGCTGTCCTATTAAACTGCCTTTATCTCAACCCACGGGTTTTACTTTTTTTTTCTTCCCCGATTTCCCCGTTCCACTGGGGGCGGGGAAGGTGAGCTAGTTGCTGTGTGGTGCTTAGTTGCTGACTGGGGTTAAACCATGACACCTGCCTTGCTAGTATACATACGTATTGTAGGGACTCAGTATTATAGGTGTACCAATTCTTCCTCAGTTAACAAAGGAGCAGAAATTAAATTATCCTTTTTCTATTTACAAAGTTTTAGGAAAATACTTTGTCGTAGTAATGTACCTATTGTTTCTCTTGAAAATTTTGTATATGAGCCTTTTAAATTAAACTCGCAAACTATAGAAAAAGCACTTTACATTCCATCAGTATCTATATCTTATCTGTCTGTAGTTCCTCCAGCTCCTCCGACATCTATATACTGTAAGGAGAGGGGAGGGAGAACTAATTCAGGCCATCTATATTGTATAATTGCATTTCAACAATTACACTGTTGAAATAGCCTCCCTTTGCTGCAGAACAGTGGCCTGAGCTTTTATGTCTGCATAATGGGTCAGATGATCTCCTGGGAAGGGGCACATTTTGTTCTTTAACTGAGACTGCATGTGCTTTTTACATAAGACTGACATGGCATTAGAAAATGAATAACCACACGAGGGGGAAATGAACACCAAGCTTATCCCTTCCCAGCTGAATGTGTAAACCAGCCGGCTACAGACGTGCTTGTTTTGGTTTTGTTATTCTTCTGACTTCATGCTTCTGGGGACAGTCAGAGGTATTCTTACAGAAAAGATGATGGAGTTTAAGAGCGAACAACCACTTGAAATGGGGCAGTGCTGGGCTGGCTTCTGAAAACTGCTAGAGCTTTTTTTATGAAATGGAGGAGTCAGTACTAGTAAATGTCACTGTATGTGCTTGTCTCTTGTATTGAAGAGTTACTGAATAAACACACAAATAGCTAAGACAGCTAATTATGGAACTGCAGATACCTTGCTTCCTGGCTTAATACCCTAAAATCGAGTTCCTTTTTGCCTGTTCTCCTGCCCTTACGCCTGATAGATTCTCGGACACAACACAGTGAAGAGGTGAAGGATGCTCCTGTCTGGAATAAAGGCTACTCTCATTGAATAGTCTTGCTGACTGCTCTTGTAGTCTTGTTGACTGCAGCAACAAGAGCAGCGAGGTTGGACTAAAGGGTATCTAAAGGTCACTTCTAGCTTCAACAATTCTGTGACTAAGTGATCATCTTCTAAGAAACTGCAGACCTACTGCTTCCTGGGGAAATGCCCTAATCAGTAGCTGTTCACACTTAATTTGGTCACAGGTTTCAGTTTAATTCAACATAGTTCAAATACCTAGGCTTGAAGCCTTTTTTCTGGCAATTTGAGATCCTTTTCAAGAGAGTTATGGGAAGAGTCATCTCTTACTTGAATCCTAAACACCTTTTAGGAGGAGATTGATGCCTAGATAGGTTTCGTTAAGTCCAGGGTGAGAAATGCTTTCCAAGCTGTTGTAAAAATGATTTAATTAATTCAAGTTCTTTATTGCTGAAGTGTTGTCTTTGGTTTTGGTTGGGTTTTTGAGTTGGTTTCTTTTTCCCCCAATAGGTTTTTTTTTTTCACTTTATTTAATATATTTAGTAGATTTTTTTTGTTTATTTCTGTCTTTTCTGGAAAACTCAGGATCTCAGAAATACAGTGTAGACTAAACTCTCACTGTAATTCAGTGTTCCTCTAAATCTTGAAAACTTCAATGCTTTTTAGAAAAATGGAGTTTAATCTGTAGCCTTGGTTGCTGTGCATCCATGAAAGCAAAATTTGTCTGATTGGTATAATGGGCAAAAGAGTCTTCAGATTTTACAGTTCAGCCAGGAGATGAGAGATCTGTGGGTCTGACTTCTCAATCAATTCTAGTTTTATCCTGGAGTACAACAGTTAACAATTAAATCTTCCCTGTTTTGTGAGGGGGTGGAAAGGCACCACCATTGTGCTTTGAATTCCAGCATAGCATAGCCTAGCATATCAGTACCAGAAATAGTTTTGGACATTGAATCCCAATTTTGAAAAGTCACCCAGCTGTTGCCCTGAGATAGGCTCCAAAATCTGCACAAGAAGCAGAATTTCAAATCAGCCTTCCCTTTGGCATAACCTATTAGCTGGCTTAACCCAGTACATCTCTGCATGCTGTCTGTTGTGAATAAAAATCAAGGAGCCTAGATTATTTCTTTTTTCTATAAGAGTAGCACAAGCATCTCATTAATTACTATGAAATCCAAGCCAGAGCTGGGTAGCTAACTTTTTAGGTGTTACAGATCTGGGTATCACATAACAAGTTCTTTTTTGAATCCCATCCTTTTTGCTTAGATTCTTTATGCATTTGTTAGTATCATATAAAACATGTTCAGGTGGTTCGTAGTTCTGCTAGGCATAATGTAAAATGGTCAAGAATATAAAGTCATCCTTTCTGTTTTGTTCACTTCAGATGGCAAAAATTCTGTTCACAAACTGCAGAGCAGAGGCAGTCTGGTAGGAGAGCCCCACAAGCAGGAAATGTAAACTAAGAATAGCTTTCTGAGGCAGAATTACTTTCTTGTATGAAAAGGGTTGAGAGATAAACCAAATATATCAGTGAAATACTTAATTAGGAATCTGAGCTAGTCGTGGTTTATGTGAAGAACTTCACCCAAGTGAAAGCATGACATCATTTCTACTAGCAGATGGATTAAAAATTAAAAATCGAGATACAATGTGTATATATTAAATGTATAATATAAAATATGTATATTTAAAATGTGCAAGGTAGCATATTCATGTATTCTAACTCCCTAGATAAAACTTTCTTATTTTTATGTTGTTAGATGTATTCTTTGTCTGCATAATGACCTATGTGAACATCTCTTTTGTTTTGTAGTTTGTGCCATTCCGAGATTACATTGACAGAAGTGGAAACCACGTGTTAAGCATGGCAAGGCTTGCTAAAGATGTTTTAGCTGAGATCCCAGAGCAGTTTCTATCCTACATGAGAGTCAGAGGAATAAAGCCATCACCTGCACCACCACCCTATACACCCCCGATTCATGTGTTGCAGACTCAGATATGACTGCTCCAAAGTGCTTAGCATTTATCACCAGTCAAGAGTCTCTGGATGCAGCAGTAGCTTCTGATAACTTTTTGGAGCTAGAAAAATTCTCTTCACATACCAAAATTTGCCTATGGTTGCATGAGCAACTGGAAAGCTTTTCAATGCTAGGAGCAAAATGTTGTTGTTCTCTCTGAGTCTTTTTTTTTTTTTTTTTTTGGACAAAAAACCCTACTTTTTTGATGTAATTATTGGAGGGGAAAGCACAAGTCAGGATTTCAACTCAGAAGATACTGTCCTCCCTGAATACTGTGTGTATATAAATGTATAGGAATGCTATTACTCTGTATCAATGTTTACATGTTACTATTTTTAAATTTCAGTACTTTTATAACTATTCTTAAGAATAAAAGTTTGGAATATTGACTCACATCTTCTAGCTTGCAATAGTTTGTCACAAGATAACAAGAGAAGCAATATCTCTTTGAATGTTTGTCCAGACAAATACAAATGAAAGCTAAGGACAAATATATATATATTTTCCAATACCTGAACTGCTTCAATCAGTGCTCAGTAATCCATTTATCTCACAGTTTGAGAATAAACTCCTAAAATGTGAATAACATAATTGCATATGACTTATGACTAACTCCAAACTTTGAGGGGGAGGTATGTGTATTTTTTCAGAGATTCTCCAATTTCTAAGTTTATCTAAGTTTACAGTTTTTTAAACTAGTTACTGAAGCAAATTAGAAGAGTTACTTGCTATAAGTAATTAAAGAAAATTACCTCAAATCAGAACTATCAGAGTATTATAGTTGACTCACTGAGCTCATTAAATCTTATCATGCATTCCTTAAAGCACTGGAAATTTTGCATCAGAAAAGTCTTTTGGAGTGATTACAGCAGATGTTTTATAATGGACCATTTTAAACTTAATTTAAAATTTTAACTTTTTTTTTGTCTAGATTGCCCATTCAAAGGGATGCTGGCTCTTAATATTTGGGTTTGGTATTGTCATTTAATCACATTTCCATTCAGGGTGCATGAATGATAATGTTAATTAACTGGTTTTAAAATTGCACAACCATGTTGCTTTGTGCACAATTTTGTGTACGGAACTACCCAAAAATTTTATTATATGCCTGTTCATATATAATTATAAATGGGTTTGCACGTACAGTTTTTACAAAATACACGGTTTTGTGAGTTTGTGTGAGATACATTTTATTTAGAACTAATGGCCTTAAATTTCACAAAACTCCTGAAATGATTGTGAATTGCCTTCAAATACTGTTAAAACTGAACATTTTAATTTTTTTGTGTCACAGTTGTAACTGTCTTGTAATGTAACGTTTTTCTTTGCATATAACCTGTTTACTACTTCTGTTTCTTACTACTGTATGTTGTAATGTACAGTATAAAACTAAGGTGCGTTTTTTAAGCATGAGAAGTTTTTTGCCAGAAAGCATATCTTCAATATTAATGGCATATAACTATGTAAATGCAGAATCTTCCATTTTTAAATATATTTAACTTCCTTTAACTATCTCATGTGGGAAATTACTTTTCCCAGGTAATTATTCTGTTAGTAAAAAAAAAAAAAAAAAAAAAAAAAAAGATCTTTTTGGTAAAAATAAATCTTGTTTTATTTTTATTTCAAAACAGTTTTTACATAAATATGGATTTTAATTTTCTCACCAAAATATGTATTTCTTAGTGGATTGATGTTGCATGAATGAAATTTGATACCTGGCAACTACAAATTTCGATGAAAGTGCATCATAAAGAATAAGTTTAAATCTACTGAATGGTGGTGGTGTTATCCTTCCATCTTCTGCATTTATTTTTTGTACTTACAGTGTTGGCACTTCAGAAATAGCTGAATTATTATTATATTTTTATTTTTTCATTTGGTTAGACAAATCTTTATGCTGACATTTGTATTGGTTCCCAGTGGCCCATGTATTTAACAGGTTTTCTTTCTAAGGCCAAAACTAGAAACTTCTTTCATTCAGTTTAGTCATTTACTAGCTCTCATTTAACCAGCGCCTTTTATTAATCCACAAATCAGCCTCAAAACTAATTTAACAACTCATCTTAAAAAGTTCCTTCACTTGTTAAATGGGTATTAGTTAATCAGAATTATTTTTTCTGTCCAGCCTCAGGACCAGCCTATTCTGTTCTGCACTACTGGTTTTTTTCTTCTGTTTGGTATTGGATTCTAAATCTAACATATTTAATGGAAAGGAATAGGTGTGAATAGTGGACTAAGTATTCTAGTGGGAAAAGGAGGCTTTTTCCAGACTTGTGACACTCCTTGTATGTTTGACATCTTGATTCTGTAATGTGTATGAGAATCATTATATAGACTCACATAGTAGCCTCAGTCATTCCAGTATCAGAGATGAGAATTAATGGTCAGAACTTGAATTTCTCCAAAATATCGTATGCAGCCATTTTTACTTCTGGCTTTATTCTTAAGAATAATGGAACACAAAACTCGTATTCCTTCCCAAGAAATGGTAGCTGCTACCAAAACTTGATAATTTTCTATGAATGAAGAGTAGCAGAGAGTATTTATGTTTAAGAAAGGTAAAGCGTTCAAAAAACAGGTAGATGTGGCACTTGGGGACATGGTTTAGTCTAGTCTACCCTTGATTGGCTTAGAGTAGACTTGGTAGTGTAGGTTAATGGTTGGACTGGATGATCTTAAAGGTCTTTTCCAACCTAAACAATTCTATGATTCTATGAAAACGTGACATGTTAGGCGACAAATGAGTTGCCCTGAAAGGGAAACTGTTGGCCTTGATGAAAGCTCTCTTCCTCTGGTATCCATCTTGGAACAGATATTTTCTGTGTAATACTTGCAGAAAACACTGTGGCAGGGTGCAATCTGTACAAATGTTCCTACAAAGGAGGAAGGACACTGTTTTATGGAGGATGTACTCTGAGAATGGCTATTTCAGGTTTGAATCTGCCTAGTGATGAATTGTTTGTTAATCTGGAAAAAGACACTGGTTTGATCTTAGTTACAAAACAGAATTTCGTAATTTTAGGCAAAGATGGCAACCTATACAATAGAATTTACATGGACTTCTAATCAGCTCACTTCCATACACAAAAAGTGTGGTCCCCTAGGGAGGTATCTGAAGGAGGGGAACAGATTTCAGGAGAGCAGGTATTCTCTGAAAAGACTCATTTTGAAAAGCTGGAAATTCTCACCTAAGTAGGGACAGATGAAATACGCTCCAGAATACTTTATAAAATGGCTGAAACAATCAGAATGATAAACGATTATCATCTTTGAGAACTAATAAAAGGACACATAATGACAAATTATGCCAATGCCGTGGGAAACCAGGGAGCGTAGTAAGAGGCTATTATGACTGTATCAGAAGTTCTTTAAACAGAAAAATGAACAAGAACACAAAGGGAGAATATGTTGCTATGGATAAATGTAAAAGATACCACGGATGTGTGTGAAAAAGGACAGAAAAACACAAAACAAATTATGACTGCGAAAGCCTAGTAGAACCCATACTAGAAATGGAAGGAAAGTTGAGTCCATTAATTAACAAAAGAATGAGCAAATAGTAAATCTAGGAAAACCAAAATACTCAATGCCTTTTTCCTTCAGGCTTCACAGAAGAGGGATAATCATCAAATTAAATGGTCAATTAAAAAAAAAAATCTAGACCTAGCTTTATATCTACCAATGAAAAGTTGTTAATACTACACACTTCTGAAACAATTTGCTTGAAAAGCAATATAATGAGCTTCAGAATAAAAGAGAGAAACGGCTGCTTTATCATGACATTTTAAAAGCAAAGCAGGACATAACAGCCTCATTTGAAGTGTTATGAAATACAACAAAACTGGTTAAACTGTTCAGAAAAATGCTATCAGTCTTTCATCATGAAGCTGGAAAAATACAGCAATTGATGTTCCATGGGGACCTGTCTTGCTTTTGGTATTATTCAGTCATTTCCATTGATGATGCAATATATAAAAGATGATTATTAAATTAGCGGATTATATCAACAGAGATAGTTTAATCACTTTCAAAGATGGGATTAAAACTTGAAATTATTTTTATGACTTAGAAAACATACCTGAAAGAGGAGCAAATTCAATCAGGGCAAATAGGTTAAGAGTACATAAGTAACAAAAGCCTACTACAGTTGCAGTAGTTCCTGGCTATGCAGTAATTCTGCAAAACAGTGTCTGAGGTTATAGTGGATCACAAAATAGACATTGAGGGGAAGGTGTCTAAGTAGAAGTTTTGAATATAGGCCACCTGAGATAATCCTTTCATTGTTCTCAAAATAATAAGGCCTCAGCTAGTGTACCAGGTCCAGTTTTGAGACTTCAAATAACGTGGATCAGCTGGAAAAAGTGCAGAGGACTGTTGGAACAAATTGGAAAAATGATCAGGGAAGGTTTCTGTGGGGTTGGCCTCCCTGCCAGAGGTTCTCTCTAACTCTTTTTGATGACCATGGTGACCTACCACAGCAAGTGTCACTGCGGGAGATCAGGACAAGCCCTACTGATGCGAACACATGGCGGGGAGCAGGTTGATGCCATCGTGGCAGAAAGATTTTCAGGAAGGACTGACCATGTCCGTTCACATTGTTAGGTTGTTGTTTCATACTGCTCACGTTTTTCATATGAAATAGATTTTTACTTTCTTTCAAAATGCTTTATGGCAATAGTACAAATTTTCTTGAGCACTTGATGGATTCTTGTTTCTTTGCCACCGAATCGATATAGTATGATTTCATGTTTTATTTCAAGCCCGCACTGTGCATTTATGTTCATTGCCATTACAGTGCAAGTGAGTGTCGATGACTGGTATTTTCAAGTTGGCCATCTAAACAAAGGGTATAGAGTACTACATTTCTGAGCGTGTGCCTACAGCCGAACACTTGACGATAATAAATTTCATCATTGGGATTCTTATTTGATGATTTTATTTTGCAAACAATCAAAGGCATTGAAGTGACTGAGTGTTCTTGTTAGATATTCCGTGCTACAGAAGATGTACATACTGCTGCGAGATACCTGCCCTGCAAGCATGCAGCGTGGTTCCTCGTGCTGTGTATGCCACGGGTGGTGGGACAGCCTTCCCAAGCCGCGGCGGGCTGTGGCTGTGCGCTGAGCAATTCCATCACTTCTGCATTGGTCTGTTCCCCAGGGAGCAAAAATTCTGCCCAGCCTCGAGAGGAACATGATTGTCATAATAACCGGGTGGCCTGTGAGTCCCCGTGCCACAGGCTGTTACGTAGCTCGGTTTGCTTCAGGCTGATCATGAAATCAAAGCAATGGACTGCACGTGCAAAGCGATTAGCACCGAACGCTGTGTCTTCAATTGAGTGGGCCATCAGGACGCAATCACCAGCCAAAGGGAATGTAGGGGGAAGCAAATTGCCTAGTTTGCGTGAGCACAGGAGTACTGCAGCCTGGGGAACTTTGCTGTGGAGAAGAAGGGAGTGGATATCCCCTCACAATGTCATTAAATACTTCTACTGGCACTGGCAGAAAGCCCCCGAAAGTACGGGAGCGAGCACGCAGCCTTGATTGATTGCTTTCTGTGAGCAGGGGGGAACCGAAAATATCAAACCTGGAGAAAAG